TCTAAGCGGGAGGGTAGCAATCAGGGATGAGAAGGGAAGGAATCGGGCTAGTGAGGGTCACATGTCCTTGTGGAACCAGGAAGCCTGGTGTCCTCACCTCATCCAGTTGGCGTGGGATGTGTCCTTGCCGTCCACGTACTTGTAGCTCTGTCTCCCTTCAGTAATGTAAGTTTTGGTAAAAGGAGTTACTGTCCTCATTTGGGAGGGATGACAGCCGCCAGCTGTACCTGAGGCTACTGTCACCCCCTCCCTTCATGCTGCTGCAGCCTGCCTGCCCAGCATCTGCAGACAAGCGAGGACGCCACAGAGGATGGATCTACTCCATTTCTGTGCGTCCCTGCCCCACTCAGCATCTTATCCTGCACCAGGGATCTTGTTGTCTTCCAAGGCAACTAGGACACAGAGCTGGGCAGCTCAACCAAGCCTGTGCAGCAGAGGGACACTGGAGGGGAGTAGGGTGCCAGGAGACAGGGAAAGAAGAACCCTCACCATCCAGGCGTAACTGCTGTGGCCCGCCTCTTCGTCCTCTGTGATCTGACCCTCGTAGGGGCCAAAGTGCACATCCACAGGTAGGGTGGAGTTCCCATTCCAGACTCCCAGCCCAGTCCCTGGGATATTCGAAGGTCCTATCTTCAGCCCAGGGGGCAGAGTGAGCATTGCGCGGTCCTCAAGCCCCACATCCACCACGCTGTCCTTCATAAACGTAGGGGGCCCATGAGTGGGACAGCTGTCGATGAAGTTGGTCTTGCACTTCTCACAATCTGAAGGAAGCATGGTAGGGATTAGGAACCATATAATCCGTGTGTATTCCTCGCTATGGAGAGCTCTGGAGTGAGCCCACACCCCTCCCTCTGCCCTCCATTCTCCACTGCTTGTGCCTAGAGTGAGTGGCGCCTTGAGCCCCAAGTGACTGCGTGCACACCTAACTCTGCCTTGTCCTTTGGGATCAGGCCAAGAGGGTCACTTACACAGGAAGTCGTCATCCTGGGGCTCGCTGACCTCCTCATATGCCGGGCCATTACCTTGTCGCATGGTGTACAACTTCCACTCAACAACCCTTCTCCTGGGTTCTAAGAGGGAAGGACAGAAGAAGACTGAAGTGTGTCACCCAGGGTGTCTGTCCCTGTATCATCAGAAACCGTGGAATATCCTTTCATCCCACTGTCACGCATGCTGACCCATCCTCTAAATCCCTGCATAACCCGCAGGTCACATTTCTAGCTGTCAAGGGCCACATGCAGCCCACAGGGCACGAATATCTCATCAGGCAGCACTAAGGATGTGCAGAGCTATTGCCACAGATGGCTGTGGGGGACAGCGTGCAAGCAGACATCCTTTATTCTATGTCATCCTTACTGCTCTCTGGTGACAGGTGGGCTATGGGCTCTTATGCTTATTTACTGATTGGCATGTAGAAGCTCGGAGAGTCTATGAGAAGTGCTCAAGTCCCCAGGGGCCCTATGTGGCTGAGACCCAAGTGTGTGTTGGAAGCCAAATTTCCACAAGCCGCTCACACTGCCCAGCAGGCGGCCACGCAGGCCTGTCCAGCATGAGGCTCACCCACCCAAAGTCCACGTCACAGCTCTGGAGCATCCACAACATGCTTTCTAGGTGGCCTAGGCTTACTTCCGAGCTGACTTGCGAGTCCCTGCCCTCACCTGGCCACCGAGGCGACCATTCTGCGTCAGAATCCTCAGATTCGTCCAGTGGGGTTTGGCTGGTTCGCCCTCCACGCTGCAGCAAAGCTGTCTGCTGGGCTCTCAGACCTGGGAAGGACCCAAAGCTTCTGTGTGAAGGGGAAGGACATCTCGGGAGGAGGGACAGAGGCACTGGCCGTGGAAAGACACAAAGCACAGGGGGCTGTGGAGTAGAGACAGCCTCGGTGCGTGGCAAACGCAGCTCTCAGCTTGCCCTGAGCCCAAGAACAGAGCTTCCCTGGAGCCTTGACTCCAGAGGAGAGGGGGCTGCATGCTGCCCTCACACAGAACTGTGAGACAGGGGCCTGCAGGGAGGCCTGCTTTGTGCCCTAGGCTGGGCGGCACACAATCTCTTCTCACCTACAGAGAGCATCTCGCTGCATTTGTTTTTCACACTGTGGTTGGGTGTTTTCTGAACTTCTCCCATGTTGGCCCACTGTTCTTTGGGGACGTATCTGGAAATGTCCTTGGAAGCATCTGTGACCTGAAGAAAAGAGACTCTGTGTCATCTACTAGCACAGGGCACAGATGGAGGCTCCCCTTTCTGCCAAGGTGCCTGCAAGGCCCTGCCAGGCCCGGGTGTCTCTGGGGAAGCCGACTGTCCCCCTTTCCACCTGCCTGAGACCTGGGAGCATGGCTGGCCCAGCTCTCTTCGGTGTTCACTGTGACAGGAGGCCAGTTCTCCCTGGGATTCGG